GTCATTTTTATTCTTTTCCTGGTTGACAGTCGTGCGGTAATTACCCCAGTGCTACTTGTGCACTGTCATAATGGCCTTCCATGGTCATCAAGAAGCACAAATATAAAGTGACTTTAAGACCAATTCACTGAGCCAACCGACAGATTTGCAACCTGCACCTCAAATGGCCAGTAGCGAGTAGCGCTTGCATCTAATTTGTCGCAACAACCTTCGTTGAAAGCCCCTTTGTTGCTAAACCGCAATAATAACTGCAATTTTTTGTTGCTATTCTTTTCTTCCTCCTTCGATCTTTTTAACAACCTGTATGATTTTGCATTGTCTGCTATTCAATTCTTATGGTAACAAAATGAAACCCACCTCGTCTACATCTTTTTCCGATTGTCATGATTGTTGGTGAGACCATTGCAGTGCCATATTTATGTTGTTGCTGGGACACTTTGGCAAAAGGCAGCTTAGAACAACATCAACAATAAAAAAAAATAAAAATCAAAAAAATAATATGGAAGTTATAATCAGACTTAAGGGGGCACTCATTATTTTCTCTAATTTTTTTAAAAGATAATAAATAAAGTGTACAATTTATTTTGTTTACATATAAAAGAACAATATGCGGACAGCATTTGATGAGAATTTGATTAAAAAATAGTATAAGTCAAGGCGTTGGCAGTGTCGTGAAGTAGACAGTCCACAAGAAAGTGCTTTCGCGGTAGTCATGATAACTTTTTCAATCTTTATCTTAAATCAAAAATCCAAAGTGATTCTCAAAGTAGGTGAAGAAAAATTTATTTTTTTGTAATTCTTTAATTTAGGCCACATATTCGCTTATAAAATAAGTCGAAGTATAGGTTAAAATAAATCATTCGTTTAGGGACTATAAAAACTATTTGTACAACAACAGTTTGAATGGTAGACGATATGGCAACAAGCTCTGAAACCAGCACGCTGCCCTCATCAGACCTTCTTCTAAATGCCCTTATTCCAGTTGGCTCCGATCTCGGGATGTCCACAACTCGAACCCTTGGTTATCCTAAGCTAAATGGATAATTTATTTTTCTTTTTCACTTTTTTGCTAATTTCTACATACCCACGACGAAGAGATATTGATGATAAGCATAATTATTATTTTTGAAAGGGTTAAAATGTTAAATTTACAGCAGTGCTGTTATTTATTCTAAATAAGGAAGTTTAAAAGAAAAAAAAGACTACTACATTTCTTTTACTGTGCAATAAGAAATAACGAAAAAATCATCGCGCGATGAGAACAGTTGATTTTAAGTTGTTTTTATAACGAAGCCGACAGCTGAAGATGAGTAGAAGTGACACTCAAAATGAATGAAGAATAAGGCAAAAGAGAAAGAGAGAAAACAGCTGCACTCATTGGTTTATTGGCAATTACCATGGCTTCAGACAGCGGCTAATAACGTAGATGATAACCCAAGCTTACGACTAAGAAAAAAGCTAAATAAATAAATAAGTAAATAAAGAGTAAACAAACTTAAAACAAATAAGAGAATCATAACAAACAATGAAAACGAAAATGCAAATTAGGGATATTTGCTGTACCGGCGAATAGTGAGCTGCAGAAGTGCTGAATGACCATTGTACTTGTTCACAGCAAGATGACAACCAACAATGGTGAATGCGCGTTGTAACGCAGACACTCGGTGGGTTGGTCAGTTAAGCAATGGCAATGCAAAATCAGAATTTTTTCATATTATCTTTTTCTATAGTTTTATTATTATTTTTTTTTTTGTTTTTTTTTTGTTGTTATGAAGTATTATGGCATGTAGTATGTTTGCAATATGAGTGTTTTTGCTTTGGCAAATTGCATGCAACGTGCAATAAACATTTAAATTTATGACTCACTGCAGTGATTGGCTTAATGCATTGTGATGAGACACTTTTTTCGCCCTTGAGTTTCTGGACTTTGCTTGCGAATTGCATCAGAGAAGGCTATTTGTGCATCGTTTATTGCATAGATCACCATGAATAAAAAGCCATTTAAGCAATTTCAGGAAAAAATAACTGCGTTGCTACACCAAGCCCATCACAGTCATTGTAAGCCTTAAAATTTCCAATAAAATCTAATCATCCAATTAAACTTCTTTTCTCAGACCAGACCATACTTTTGATATATTAAATATCACAGTGTTAAAAAAAGCTTAAAAGATAATATTTCAAAAGAGTTCACGAAAAAAAAATTCTGCAATAAATATAAGATTAGCCACTGGCAATATTTTTATTACTTTTGAAAATCTTTACAGTAAATTTCGAAAAATTCTAAAATATCTCAATCGACCACGTTAGCTAAATTATTTCGCTCAACAAGCAAACATTATTAACATTTTTCCTGTCAACGAGATCTACTAAAAAATTAAATTTCATGAAATTGCTTAATAAAAACTATTCGGTGTGAGTCTAGGGTTAAAGTGAACCTAACCCTAAATGTAGGCAATTTTTCATCACTGGACTATGCAAACTTAAGTGCATAATACATATATAAGCCAAGAATGATCCTCTTAATTTTAGGGTGACACTTTCGATTCAAAATCATGATACTCTGCTACTTCTTCTTTTAGTTATTCAGACGAAAACTTTTACAAAATATGAATAAAACTAGAACTTTTTGATTTTTAAAGAGAAATTCTAATGAATCATTAAAATGGTTTCAGTTAAAAGTTATAGTAAAAGTAAATAAATGTAAATATTGAAATAATAAATTAAATATTTTATTGGGTTTCTGATTTTTCTAATTCATTTTAATCAAATATTTTTTTAATTTTCATTTCAACAATTCATTGATTTATTTTAAAACACCAATGCACCGATTACACGGATCAAAAGCTGCCTGTGGCAACAATGAACAAATATTCCATCCATCCACAAAGTGCTTTGTCCAGGTCTGAAAAAACTTTTCTCTTGTGCTGTTAGCCAGCATTTAGTAGTTAATAGACTGATAGATTGCATTGATATTTGGCATTAATTCACTTAAACTGGCCATAGTGAGGGCAAACAATAGCTTACTAAAATAAAACGATCCTAAAGCAACAAGCAAAAACCCGCTGACGAGGTAAATAAAATGCAAAGTAGTACAAGGGCAATACCAATGGACGAAACGTTTCGTGCGCTCCCACAATGCGACGGCTGTCTGAGGTTTGTTTGCAAATTCACTAAAACTGTTTATGCTGTTGGGCAAATTGGCTCCTTTAAACACACATGCATATGTATGTAAAACACTCAGTGGGTGAGCTGATTTGCTAACGATAGCACTGGATTGCGCAAGCGGAAATGTGTAATATATAAGCAAAGAATGCAGTTGCTGGCTTGACTCGTCACTAGAGCAAGCTGATGTCCAATGCATATGATAATCAGTTCATAGGAAAAATGGGCGAAAGAGCTTTGCAGTGTGGGCAGATTAAAAAGCAACCATAACTAGGTTTACTATAGTATATGGATCAACTGGAATATCAATATAATATTGATAGGGTGGTTCTTATTACTAAGGACTATATATGTTCCTTTACCCCAAAATCCCAAAACGAAAATATTAATTTTAAAATATTTATGAAAAATTTAGAGTTCTACTGGCGAATTTGTGAACTATAAGGAAGTTGTAGGCGCAGAAGAATGATTGATTTTTATATAAATTCCATTTTCTTAATATTACTTAAATTTAAACTTTAATTGGTTTTACAAGTGAAATAATAGTAATAGTATTACGTATACGCACTGTCGAACGCACTGCATTAGTGAAATTCTATTCAAAAAATTATCATTTTCTCATATACATTAATTAATTTATTTATGCTCAATATTATAACTAATTTTATTTATTTGGGTAATAAATTATGAAATTTAAAACTTCCCATTCCATCTTCAATTTCATATCACAGTTTTCACCACTTGCCACCGCTTTCTTGTAGTTCTGTGTCAGTGATCGGCATTTATTAATAGCAGAAGACTGTTATTATGCTGCTCTTGCCGTTTTCGATACACAAGCTGTGGGCGAAACATAATTTCAGGGCTTCCTACACACTATGCCCAACAAGACAGCAGTGCTAACAACACCAACTACAACGGCATCAATATATCTATCATTCATTTTGCAACTGAAGTAGTTTCTGCTGTAGCCACACAACGTGGCCATGTCGCACATTTTTAGTGAAATTTATTTTATTGCTATATCGCTCATGAAAATTATTCAGTTTGGCACGAAGTATTGAAGTACTAGAAGGAGAAGAGATAGACCGATTAAAATTTATATGAACAAAAAGACGATCTGAGATGGGAATCACACCATTTTAACGTATGTTTCTCTTTGGGTCAAAACTTTACCAGAAACATTTAAAACCATTTGGTACTCGATTCACGTAAACTAAAAAAATGTTGACCTTGAGTATAGTCTAAATCAAATTTTACATTTTTCAATCAATTTAAGAAGTTTATGAAAGGTATAAAGACTTTGTAAAGACCGAATTTGGCACTTGTTTCTTGATTTTGTTTGCTTCATTTTATTTTATTTTATTCTTCTTTCTTATGTACCCTCGCTATGAGCCAAGCTACGGCAGGCATGTCTTAGCTGCACAGCAGATTTGCTCTGCTATGGTTTCTTGCAGTCTGTGTGTTTACATCCACAAACATGGCAATGTGAGGTAACGCAGACAAAGACTTGCTTGCAAAGCCATCAATATGTAACAATAAATATAGTCAAACCAAAATTTAATTTTCCACAGCATGAAAACTAAAATTTCTTATATCATTTATTTTGGTTTAATTTTATTTTATTTTCCTTATTAAATTTAATTAAGGTGAGGTTTTATTTATTTTTTTTTTTGCTTTTGTATTATTTTTATATTTTTTTTTATATTTTTTTTTATTATATTTAATTTATTTTTTTATTTTTTATTTTTATTATATTTTATTTTATTTTATTCTTTTTTTTAGTATAATTTTTTTAGCATACATTTTTTACTTCTTAAATGATATGTAAATCGCTAAATATAAAAGACACCGCCAACAGTCCGACCATTAAAGGAGTCTGTTAAATATCCATTTCGAAACTCAAAACTCAATTATAGCACTCGCTAACAGCATAAACCATTTAAAAAACAGTTTATTTTCATTCTCTTCGCGAAAGGTGTAATTCTCCGCCAATTCATAAGCCCTCAGAGCAAGTGCGGACTGCTAATTGATTCAAATTAAAGGGAGTGCAATCGATGCGCTTCAGGACAAACAGAAAAACAGACGGAAATACAAAAAACGCAACGAATGCTCAAATGCCGCGAGCTAAAAAACAGAGGGAATCGAAAAACGTGGTATAAAAAAATGAGAAGTAAAGAGGAGTAGCCTCAGCAGTCAGGAGCAGAAAGCATCAAGGTAGACATGAAAGCCCACAAAAGCGGAAACGAATGATTTGCAAAATAAAATTTACTTAAGAAACTGACGGCAGACTTTAAAAGACAGGAGAAGTAAATTTTCGCACAGTTCCTATTGACAAAAATAATTTAATTCAGAGCCAGATATATGTGATCTAAAGTAACTCCTGGGCTGACTTCAATTATTGGGGTATAAATGTAAAGCTCTGCAGAAGCTGGGAAGGAGGGAAGTTAAATTAATTGAGTTATCAAGTGCACAGCCGAGGGCAGTTTAATATAAAACTCCTTCTTACGAAGTCTAGGCGACTTTATTTAAGTTAACATATATGTGCGTTTGTACATATATGTCAATTGTATCTGCTACACCCTTTTATATACCCTCTCATCGTAATTGTTGATTATTTGCTTCCCATTTGTTACACATTTACTTATTCATACTATTTTCCTTCATTATTTTTTAGCCACGGGGCAAAGACTGCAAAAATACCAACACCAACAACGCAAAAATGCGGCACAGTAAACGAACGCTACTGCATAACCATAGCAACAACAACAACATACCTTGGCTTCTTTTACTATGTCTCTTCATAGCTTCGACAGCTACCACCACAGCAGCCAGACGTTCGCGTCTTGATTTAGCTGAGAGCGTACAATCTGTCGCCCAAACCGCCAACTCACCCTTCTCCACCACAGTGAAGGACAGTAATTTGCCTATTGCTGAAAAACAAGTCGCTACAGTAGCCAACGCACCAGCTGCGCCAGTACCACCAGCAGCGGCACCTGTGCCAGCACCGGTCTCGTTGGCAAACACCGCCGCTAATGCTACTCTTGCAACTAACGACGATACAAGACATCAGGCAGAGTCTTTGGTGAGCAATGGCAACAAAACACCGGCTCTTGCTGCCGATTTGCCGGGTAACTCTGAGGCAAAACATGCCATTGACAAGTCGGCTGTAAACTATGCGGAGAGCGAACAAGTTGCTGCTAACTCGGCGGCCGCACCTGCAGCACTCGACTCGGCAACTACGGCTGCAGTAGCCACCGCGGAAAAGTCGGCTTCACCGGAACACAACGTCGCTGCTGAAGAGGATCAATTACCCAAGGAACAGAAAGAATTGCCGACAGAGATTGGCGATGAGGACATTGACACGTTAGATGATGGCAACAATGTCGGCACAGCTAGCGGCGGACACGGTAACACGCTTGAGGAATGTGATCCGGAATTGATTGGCTTCGAAATTGTTACAGGGTGAGTAGTCAATTCATGTGGGAAGTTACTATAAAAAGACCGTAAAAGTTTTGAACAATTATTATATTAAAAAAAATCAAAATACCAAAACGTTAAAGAAAACTTAATTTTTTTTTTAACTACGTTTTTCTTCTTTAACAAAACATCTGGTGATTAATTTTGTTATAATTTTTGCCAACAGTATTCAGCTCAAATTGAGTTGCACAACTCCACTGACTCCAAAAGCAACACAGGTAAAATAAGTTCTAAAAAGTTGATCTCTTGAAAGATAAATTCTTTGTAGCCTTCTTTTTGGCGCAAAATTCGCCTTGAATTCTCAACTGGCTGTATGAAATTTTGAAATAAGTCTCATTAGCAATGATTTGCGGATTTTAGATCAAACATTAAGTTTGAAATATTTTCAATAACTCCGTACTGAAAATTGTATTAAAAGTGATAAATAAAAGTAGAATAGAAGTAGAATTATAATAATTATATCATAATGGCTTTAGGCTTTTCATTTTTTCTTGTAATGAGTTTTAAGGCTTGCATTGTTGTTGACTTCGTGTGCATACAAATTGTTTCTTCCTTTTTCAATTATTTCCATTCTCATATAAGCAAATAATTCACTTGTATCCGCTTTCATAAAGAATATTTAATTGTTTCTTTTTCGTTTTTAACATTTCTCATAAAATAATTTGCAAGCTTCCAATATTGCTGCTGTTTTCTAATATCAGGTGTACAACTTTGCTTCCGCCGTTTTCCGATAGGTGCCTTTAAAGTGAGTGTGGACAGTCGCCGTTTCAGTGACAGTTGTTCTTGTTTTCGTATTATTCACGCTCGAAAATGTACGTTTATGTGCCTAATTCTCGCAATTTGCGGGAAGTTTTATTTTCTGTTACAATTCGAAAAAAAATGCAGCTGAAGCGCATCGCATGCTCTCGGAAACTTACGGTAATGCTGCTCTGAGTAAAAGAACGTGTCAGCACTGGTTTCAACGTTTTAAAAATGGTGATTTCGATGTCGAAGACAAACATGGTGGTGGAAGAGAAAAAACCTTCAAAGATGAACAACTATAAGCATTGATTTACTACGAGCTCTTGAAACCGGGTGAAACCATCACAGGAGATCGCTACCGAACGCAACTGATGCACCTTAGTCGCGCGCCAAAAGAAAAGCGGCCACAATATCAAGAGCGACATGACAAAGTCATCCTCCAACACGATAATGCTTGGCCTCACGTCGGAAAAGTGGTCAAAAAGTACCTGGAAACGCTGAAATGGGAAGTCTTGCCCTACCCGCCGTCGCTCCTTCTGACTTCCACCTATTCCGTTCGATGGCACACGGCCTCGCAGATCAACATTTTCAATCCTTCGAAGAATTGGAAAAATGGATTGCTTCAGGGATAGCGTCAAAAGAGGACTCCTTTTATCGAGCCGGGCTCCGAAAATTGCCGGAAAGATGGGAGAAAGTTGTCGCTAGCGAAGGACAATACTTTGAATAATATATTTGCAAGCACTTTTTCGCAATAAAGCTTTTAATTTTGGGAAAAAAAAACAGCGGAAGCAAAATTGTACACCAGATACATGGCACGACGAGCTGCTCATAAAAAATTTCGAAAAAAAGCGAAATGATTGCGTTTCACAAAGCGGAAAAATTTATTAGCGAGCAGATGCTTCTGATTACGCAAGAATCTTTGAGAAAATAATGATTTTTTTATTTATTACCTCAATTAAATATGCGCTTGTAAAGATGCAATAAAAATTCCCTAAAATTCCTGCACGTGTAATTGTGCAGAAAATTCTTTCTTTAAACGCTACCAAAGGCATTATTCCCGATGATCCATTGCTTGTACATATATACATACGTACAATAACGAGTATATTATGATGCAGCAACGCTAGCAATGGTGGCCATAATAACAGCACACTCGCATATTATTTAACAAAGATTTGTGTAATTTTGTTGTTTCTTTTTATATACATACATCTTTATTGTTGCTTTGCGCGCAATAATGGCACTTGCAACAATTTCAACAAATAACCGTAGCGACAAATAATAACTGCTTCCGGCTATGTGGGCCTTCTGAACAATATCAACAATAATTGAGGGAATTGGTATGCCGACGATCGCGATTAGATGCCCAGTCCAAGGAGCCGAGTGTCGGCTGGAAATGACACGCTCACTTCTCAACTCTATAGAAAACTGACTTTTTTTGATTTGAGCCGCTCAACAGTTGTAGGATTACTCAAGGTTTTGTATAGTATTTATGTAAGTACTATAAGGTAATGGAATGGACTCACCAAACTTATGTGTTCAGATATGAGATTTTGGGCAGAAAATCTGTCAAGAAAAGTAGCTAGGAACGCGAAGCTTCAATTCAAAAAAATATTTGAACTGAAAATTATTAGAATCGGAAGATTCTATCATATAGCTTCTGCACAATCTAGTTTTCGGACATGAAAACTAATATTTAATCCTTAAATTCAACACAAAAAATTTGATATGTGCATGAAAGGTATAAAGACTTCGTCATGACCGTAGACAGTACTTCTTTCTACCCATCTATTCAAGTTCGGTCGCATGCGCAGCCGATTTGTTGAACTCCTCAATACGCGTGGAAAGACAGAGTCACATAAAATGCTATGTTCTTACATATGTACATACAAAGCGCAGCCGAAACGCCATGACTGAAAGAATTTTTTTTTTTCCTATGCACCGATTACCTCGCTCAACTTCAGAGGCATTCGTTATTCAGTGAGTTGTGTTGGTTTTGGTGTTGTTGAGCCAACAATTTATGAAATTGTGCGTTTTGTTTGTTGTTTTTATTTAAGTGAGTGAGTGAGTGTTGTTATCGGCCGTTGGTAGCCGCGGAAAAATCCTACTGTGTTAATCGTCCTTGTCTTACCTTCCCTAGTCGGTAATTGTTTATGTTTGTTGTTGGTAGCTTAAATCTCCTTCAATTGTCACCGTAAATATATCTGCAAATAACTGCAACTGCAACAATTCTACTTTGCGGTGGCAATCAAACAGGCTGCGTTGGTATTTGAGAGAGAATGCATACAAATGGCAAAGTGTTGACAGCCCTCGTTTGGTGTTGATAAACGTTTGAGGACAGAAGTGTGAGAGATAATGGATAAAAAAATGTATATTATAGAGTACGCAAAAGCATGTCAACTACATAATAACAACAGAGTGACTTACCAGTATTTGTAACGATATAATCCGTATAACCTAGGTTGTACTCTGTGAGTCCCTGTTCTAGAGAATTTGTCAATGAGTGTATTTTTGATTTTTTTAAATGAACTGGATTTAATTTTAAAATTTTCTGAAAATAACTAGACGAAATAGCTAATGCTGCGAGCTCTCTGATTTTTTTAATATATTTGGACCCTTGAAGGAACTTATCAAACAATCCTTAAATAATTTACACGTTAATATAAATTGATTTATGTCCATGACGGATATAACATATACAGCTCAGAAAAAGTCATAGTCTTCTTCAAGAATCATAAAAAAAAATTAAATTTAATAAATTATTTCAATCACTGCCAAATTCTCCTCAAACACGTGTCAGTAAAACCTTAAACGGGCAATAACTACGGCAGAAGTGCTAAATGGACAATTATTACTGGTTCTATAACTAGGTTTTGGGGTAAAGGTGTTGGCGGAGAATCTAATACGTTAAATTGAGTTAAATGAAATGGATGTAAAATTCGTTACACCTCATAAGATTTTCCAGAATATTGGCAGTGGTATGTCAAACAATTTATCCAGAAGCTAATAGGACATAAAAGAACCCCAACAGTAGGTACCAAGGGTTACTAGCTAGAGGTTATAATACACTTTTCATATCCTAAACATTAGAAACTTACATCCGATGCGGTCTGTTGGCTTTGTTATATGGAATACAGTTCATATATAATATGTGACAATACCTTAAAACTACCAAGACGTTGAAAGTGTTGCAAGAAATCCAATAAACATCAAAAGGGCAATAACTCACCTGTAAAGAGAAGAGAGAAAAAAAATATTAAAAAAAATTAAAGTTGCAGAAAGACATTTTTTTGGTTTCGTAATTTTATTTTGCTTTTATTTTTCGTTGTTATTTTTTGATTTTTTTTACGTAATAATTTGAAGCAATCAATATACGATTGGTGCAATGTTGCAACTGTTTCTTCACCTTTATTCTATTTTGTGCATGCTTACGTACATACATACATACATAGCAGCATTCCACACTAGTGAACAATATGAGTTTGATATCTTGTGGGATCGCTTTGTAAGAAATCTCTAGCCGCGCAGTGACGTGCAATCAACATTTTATTGGTCTGCTTGTTGGTGCCGCAATTATTTGCCGAGAATTCAATAAATTCGTGGCGTAATCATAGCGGTATCGGCGATTTTTATAGCTGTTATTCAATTTATTGTTGCTGAGCGGATTTCAACTTTTTACTTCTCTCTGCAGTCATTCTCCTATTTGTGCCTTCTTAAGTTGCAAGATTTGTTGTCACAACCAGGGAGAAAATATGGGAAATAATCGAAGCAATTTTATTTTATAGGCCAAATGAGCCAAATGACTACCAATGGAGAAGAGAGCAACATATGTCTACGTTGAAAACCAATTGTTATTTATTATTAAGTTTGAAGCGAATTCTGTCATTGGCCACAGGCGAATTGGTTGACCATCATGAGTAGTGGAGGCGGCAAAGCCGAAGAAGAGTAACTCTGAGCGCATGGGAAGATAAGTAGTAAAAAGATAGGAAGACTGCAATTGTTCCTAAGTATCACAAGCCTACAGGCGCATGGTCATCGAGTGAGTTGCTGGAGGAATATACAACTTAACAGCACAATGGTTATCTCGCAGCATTTTTTATTATTTCCATTTTATGTCATTGGTATTGATATGCTATTTCAAGAGCCCTTTCTGTTATACGCCACAATTTTTGTCTTTCTCCGCCTGTAATGCAAACTTGAGTCGAATGCGTTCTTTGAAGATTACGTAATTTACGTTGAATATGGCTCAAAAAAAATTGTTGCATGGAAAATATTTCAATAAAAACACGATTTTGTAATTTCGAAATTGTTCTATGGTATTGTAATTAACTGATAAAAGATAGTAAACTGGTTAAGGTGTGTGACTTTGCTAAAAAAAAGTTCTATGCTGCACCTAATTGTAGGCAAAAATTTCAAATGAATTTAATTCTTTACTAAAAAAAAAAGTAAAAGCGAAACCCTGTGGTTACCAATAGCGAGAGTTTGACAATTGTCTTATTTATAATAAAATATTTTATCCACAGGGAAAACAGTTGTCAAGAGAGTACGGAAGAGTATGAAAATTAGTTAAAAATATATACCCATTGCATTGGCTCAGTGGCCAAAAGTCTGGGAAAACCTACGTAGGGTCGAAGCATGCGTAGATTCGAAACCTAGCTAGACCAGCACACCAAAATACGCAAAAAAATCTTAATGCGGTCGTCTCTCACTTGGAAATATAAGTTTCTCCCATGTGCACTTCCTCATAAACATCAGTTCGAAAAAACATAGAGAACAGCAGAAATTTAGTTATTCCGCAAATTACAAAAAGTTAAAAAATATAAACTGACAAGCTACAATCAGCAAATATGTAAGCTGCTACATATATCTATGAACTAATTACTTTGAAGTCATTCCATTACATGACAGCGGCATTCACTTAGTATACAGCGACAAGAGGTTTTACTGCTTTCAAAGCCACTTTTTCTGCAAATGCAACGCCTACTCCATTCATTATCATTATTACTGCTTTTGCAACTTTTCTCTGCTTCTGATTGAAAACAACAAAATAACGTGCAACATGGAGTGAGCACATTTATAGATATTAACGTATGTAAATGTATACTCAAGAACGTGCAACCGCCGGCCCAACCACCGACAAATCATCAGTCAAAATGTCAGAAAAGCAAATGTCAGCCACTAATTAGCCATAACCAGGGCAGCGGTAACAAGAAACATGAGAAAAAAAAAAACAAAAAAAAAACTGAGAAAATTTAGATTTCATAGAAAGAGGATCAGCATAAGAAAAGTTATGCATCTTCTTCGTTTTAAATATATGTACTCACATACATAGACACTGTTTGAAAAGATAATAATAATAATTTATTTACAACTGTTGTATATTCAAATGTACGTTGCATGCTGCAAATGTGAAATATATTTGCACCTGCACTTGCACTCCGAATTTTATGAGTATAAGAACAAGTGGCATTCATCATCTACGCCCATTGTTGCACGAGATACGTAAATATCATATTATAGCATTGCAAAAGGAGGTAATTGACTCAGTGCGGGGCAAGTACGAATACGTTTTACTGCTTTATATACAATGCAGTTGGAATCTTGAGAATTAAATATTTCATCCTAAATGTAGGCAATGTTTTAACTACACTTATGATACTCGTGCGAAGACACACACCTTAAACGCAACAAGATTGGTTTAAAATTAAGAAATTTCTATTTCGAAAATATTTCGGTCTATTTATATTTGTTTATAACAACTATTTCTTATATAGTTAAAATCCAAAAATTATATAATAATTATGTAACTTCTCGGTAAGAAATTCAAAATAGTAATGAATTTGAGACAAAATTATCCAAATAGTGCCTCCATTAATGTATTAAAGATAATTTCTTATATATTTCTTATATTTCCAGCTATGTTTTCTCAGCACCTGGCAAATTGTTAAACTCGCTGCCTGGCACCCTTATGTTGACCGACTGTCTGGAAGCATGTCAAACGAATGATGCCTGTCGGGCGGTGAACTACGAAACCGGTTTATGTGTGCTGTTCTCTGCTAACGCGGATAAATTACCAGGTAAGCAAAAGAAAATGAGACAATTAAAAATGTGAAATAATAAAAAGCTATTGTGATACTAAAAATCACACCATTTTGGCAGCAAATTCTATGTATATTTTATTCCAGCAGCAGTAAAAAATATTTTCGAATTCAAAATTACCAAAAAATTATAAAAAATGCGATGACATATATAATTGAAAATGAAAGCAATTAAAATTGGCCACCGCAAGGTTACTTTAGTTGGCAAATGGTTTTTTTTTTTTCATTCATAATTTTTTTTTTTAATTTCAATATTCTGACCATACTTAGTTTCAAATTTTCGGACTGCAGCAGCCAAACTTGCTTTATTTTTTAAATTTTGATCAATAGTTAAGACCCATTGTTCTACCGTGTAACGCTCCACTTTTACTAAGCCTAAATTAACCATCGATGTGCTTTTTTGAGTTGTCAGCACTTTAGTACATAAATGGCGGCAAATTTAAATCATTCGTTAAATTAGAAATATATTGCTGCTTAACGCAAACACGAGAAGGCGACTCAGCTTCTTCTGCTGACCTTGACCATTCTCACATTCTCGCCGATAAATCAACAATCACGTTGATAGACTCGTATCGTATTAAAGCGCCAAAATTAAATTGGTAGTGTCATTGAAGAAGCTTAAAGAAGTACTTAATTAGGAAAAGTGACAGTCATTGTGCCAGGGAATAACTCAAAAAAATAATATTAGCGCATAGTTGAAATCGAAATTTGAAGAGGAAAGTGTTTGGGTGGCGTGATTATGATCCGAACGCCGTAATGTAGGCAACGTTTTAAATAAAATTGCGGGGTTAAATACCCTTTATTTCATACTAGCAATGAAATTTTAGAAAAAAAATGTTTCGGAAAACTTATGACTTACGAATAAATTGCTGAATCATTTATAAATGAAATGTGTAGAAACGTAGCAATAATTGTGCTTATAAAAGTACTGGGAAATACTGTGCAATTAAAGAAATGATACTACGAAAGGAGAATAAGGTAATAATCTGATTGGAAAGCTAGCATCACTTGTGAAAAGATAATTGAGACTGAAGCTACTTAACAAGGCAATAAAATCATCAAAGGCTACCAACAAACACATAGCTTGCGGTGGAAGCACACGCAAAAATCAAAATCAGCAAATTCGGTGAATAGGCGGGTTATACATAATATGTATCAGCATGATAGGGCAACAAGCTGTTAAATAGTGGTTAAGCAAGCGAAACGAAAAGGCAAATCATAAACGTGGAAATATGAAAAAAAGATTTTCTCATGTTCACTAGTCGTCAGAAGGTTGGTTTAGGTAGGAAAAAAAATTAAATTAAGCTTTTTATTTCAGCGCCAGTCACACCCACTTGAACTTGGGATTTTTTAAGGTTTCTTTACTTCGTTAGCTTTTTCAAATGTAGATATGTTTTAAGCAGCAATACTGAAGAGGCCATTAACCACTTTATTCTCCGCTTAGTTGTTCAGTACGCACGCAGGAAATACTAAGTGCAGACGAAATTGAAATGAATGCTAAACTGACAGAAACCGATTCGAAGTATTTGAAGCAAATGTGTTCTAGGAGTAATGGGCGTTGCAAAAACAGCGAATAACCTGATAGTTCATTGGTTGATAAACGAGCTTAAGAAAATTTAGTATGGCTGTAAAGCCAATGCATTAGGTTAAATATCTATTTTAACTGATTCAAAAACTTTCATGCAAAATATTTTTTACAAAACTTTTTCCTTTTTCAAAAAACAACATTGCACATCTCCACATATTTTTAAGCCGAGCCATATTGGACGAAAAAAGAAATGAATTCCCTTAGCTTCAAATAAATTTCTGTCTATGTTTGGTATGAAATTAAACAATTTGCGGAATTTCAGCCCAAACGAAGAACATTGTGCAGAAAATCAACATTTTTTGATAGGTTTAGTATAGGAATAGCCGCATGTATTGTGATTAGATTATTATTATTTTTTTTTTGAGTGTTTTCATGTATATTCATATTTCATCTTCCTCTTTCCATCTCCATAGGCGCCCTCACTAAATCACAATTCCCTGTATTTACAATTTATGCACAAAAATCATGTCTCGGCATACGGCCGTGTGCACGTGCCTGGTGTGTTGATCGCGTGCAAGGCTACAAGTTGAATGGCTATGCAAAGCGCACGATACCAGTGGTTTCGCGACGTGATTGTTTGGAGCTATGTTTGGGAGAAAACGAATTCACATGCAGGTGAGTCAAGACACAATTTTAAGCAAAAAAATGAATGATTTGAAGAAAAGAAAATAAAATAAAAAATAACTATGAGAAATTTTAGTGATGTAAAGGATGTGTTTACAAGTAAAAAAAAATATGTATTAATTCTTAGTATTCAAATTTAACTACAACCTTTTTCTATACTCAACGTCTTTTTCGTATAAAGTTAATAAATTATAAAACTAAAAAATAGAAGTGAAATCTCCATAAAATCTGCAATTTAGACAAACAATTTTTGGTTTTAGTTTGAACCACCAGCTCGAGATAAAGATACTTTCAATAACCCTTCTGAGGAATTACTTCATATTTTTATATTTGACTCGAAATTAAGAGTATTTTCTCTCTATTGGAGATAAATAGAAGCAATCCACTAACTTATGAAAATATACAGGAATATCGTATACACTTTTCTCTCATTTAAATTTCGCTTAAGAGCGTAAGTCACTGCACAAAGACATCAAAAAACCGTTTGGTCAAATGCTTCGGGAATGTAAAAACAAATATACAAAAAAAAAATTTGTCAAAAAGACAAGTGTAACTTCTCAAAATCATGAAATTATAGAAAATACAGAAAATTAATATGAGATCTACTATCGTTGACTTGTCTTATAACGCCATAAAACGAGAATTTTATTTAAAATTTCACCAGCAAGTGAATTTGTCTAGACTATGAAATTAGTTTGTATATTCATTAAATGCTCAACGCAAACAATAAATATATTTCACATTGCACGCATTTTCACAAGCGAAGAATTTCAAGTTTGTCGCTTAAGTCTTTTGTTAACCTACAAAGCAAACCGACGAGCAAGATTTTCATGCGCAAAAGATAAGCGGAAATGTGTAATTAAATTATGAATAGCAAAGTTTATTGCAAGCGAAAGTCGGTTGCAATAAAATCACAATATATCTAGACTTTAAAGTGCAAAAAGTGGCATGACAAGTCGGTGATAGAGAAGAGAGATTCCACTTTTAAGCGCTAAACATTCTATAATTGATTTTTTATTACTTTGAAAGATAAGTTCTATATTAATTTGCCGACTTCCCGGTGAAGAAACGCAGACAGCAAATATTCTTGGTATTTTAATGCCTTAATATTACTTGTTGCATTGCGAGGAAGAATGTAGGGTGAAGATATATGTAAGTATTTTCAGTAGCTGTCACAGGTTTTGCTTTAGCTGATGACATTTTCCGAAGAAAATGATCTGTTTCCCCTTGTTATTTATTTCTCCCCAAACGAAATGCGGATGTAAAGCACCACCGTCGAAATCAATATCTAAGCTGGCCAAGACAGTCAAATATCCTCATCCCGATGATGCATTTTTTACAGAAAAAAAATCGAATATCTCATTCGAGGCAGTGGGTTGAGCCTATAACACACTGTAACTAAAACTAATTAGAAGAGCACTTTATCGCCCAGTGGTCAAAAACTCGTGCAATAGCAGCAAGCGCTAATCAGGCCAACATTTGGCAAAGCAACCGACAGATCGTTCAGTCGGCATTCCGTGAGTGCTCTCAACTACATTGGGCAGCCAAATTATGAAAAAAAAATTTAATTAGATGCTTTTTTCTGCTGCTGCATACTGTCTGAAGCGTGTTATCTAAGACACAGACACACTCACCAATAAGCTGCTGTCTCTCTCTGCAGTATTGGCAGTGGCAACATTTGCGCTTGCGCATAGATTGCATTAGTTCTACATTAAGTTTACAGTAGCCATTGTCAGTTGTTGTTGTGAACTAATCTGCGTCGGGACAGCTCTGTCGTGTTAGATGATATTATGCAAGAATGCAGCAAATTGGAACATTTGAAAATTGCACGAACGCGTAACAACAGGCTAATGGAAAACAAGAAAAGAGAAAAAAAATAATACAAAGGAGTGACGGCAAAGACAATGCAGCTTCTTTTGAAAAAAAAACGCTGAGCTGTTGTGAAAAAACCCAGTTTGCAGTTTGGTTAGGTGTGGTGGCTTGCCATATTGTGTGGTGGCTTGCCATATTGTGTGGTGTGGCCTTAAACAAAAATGGAGTTCGCGTTGGCGCTGCAAATTTATGTAATTAGTTTACGAGGCGCTTCTGAGCTTACTTCGTTCTATACTCTAGAAATTTTTTCTCTTCTGTTTTATTTCTCAGCACGCAGAATAAGTGTATCATGCAACTAACTTTAATTAACTTCAGTGTATTTCTGTAAGCGCTTCTCAAGCCAAACTGAAGACCTTTACTTTTAAAATTCAAACATCTTTACTTCATTTCATTTTATTTCATTCTTTTTTATTTTAATTAATTTTTTCCATTTATTTTATTTCATTTTATTTTATTTTATTTTATTTNATTTCTTTTTATTTTATTTTATTTCTTTTTATTTAATTTTACTTCTTTTTTTTATTTATTTATTTTTAATGTACAAACATTTCTCATACTAATCACTCTAACACGCGCCAAACCAATTGTTAACCTATTCTGTAGTAATCAGTAAAGTAGTTAACAAATATAAATAAAAGAGTTCACTAACAACTTTTACATAATTGCAGAATGTACGAATCATATTACATAAGAGATTTCTTGATATAATAAATGGATGTATGTGTGTGTATATGCATACATCCTTATTGAGTTCTGCTTTCTTTCCTTACAAGTCTTGTGTTTGGTCTCTATTTGGCTTGGAACCGTTACTAATCGCACCAATTTAAAATAGTGTGGTAACAAGTTGCAAGAAGTGGTTGTTGTTAAAAAAGCCATAAGCCACACTCCTTCACCACGCCACCGAACGTGACTTTCACGACTTGTAGGATGGTAAATATAATACAAATAATAATAAGTAAATAAAAATTGGCAATAATACTGGGAAATTGCTTTGCTGAAGACACGGTGGATTTCCATTATTACAACAGGAGGGCAGTAGCCGATATAGCCTCATTTCTTTTCCAGTTTCTTCACTTTTATTTCACTTTTATTTTTTTGGAAATTTTTTTAATGTATTTAGTCAACATATTCATGTTTTGATTCAAATTTATTTTCCTATTTTTTCTTTCGGTGTCCGTAGTTGTGCGGCCATCGCTTGGATATCAAATATATTACTTTAGTGTTGTTTTATTTTTTCAAACAATTTTCTTTAATATTTTAGTGGTATCGCTCCTATTGCTGCTATTTGTTTTTTTTTTACCGTTATTATCGTTGCTATTAAGTACGTTATATAACCGTAAAATTTTTTTTTCTCATCTTTTATTTAATTTAGAATTTGCTTCCTTAATATTTGTTTAGTATAAATTGTGGCTGAGGCAAAATAGAAAAAAAATTATATTGCCTTTTATTTGCCGTGGACATAGAGTGTTTCTGACTTGGCCATATTTTTTGGTTGATTTTTTAATCTAGTGTGTTGTCTTGCTAACCGCAAGGAAAAATTTTAAAATTCAGAAAATAATAGCTAAGGTATCAGCCGCAAATACGAATTTCGTTTTTTTTTTTTTAACTTCAATTTAGTTGTGGATAATTTATGTAGCTTTCACCGTATGTAGCTTGCATTGGATTTTAAGCATGCTGAAGAAATAAAAGATTAAAGCTAGATTTATTTACTATGACTTTAGTTTTTCAACATAACACCGGCTATCCGTAGCTGAACTTGAATGAACTTTTCATAAGGCGACGTATAGTCATCCTTAACACCAAAGATTAAAAAATATTTTTTTTTAAAAGTTATTCGAGCAAATTAGGTGTGCGATTTCGCTAAATTTTTGGAAATGCGCCTGATTGTAGGCCATATTTTTAACTAACTTTGAAACAATATGGCTGGGTTCAGCCCATATAATGCTCTTATCATAAGTCTTCAAATTATGTAGGACAAACTGAAGGTATTTCAATGATTTTTACTCTAATCAATATGACAAACATTTTTTTATAACGAAATTATTAATGATAAATATCAATCATTTAAATGCCTCTTCTTTATACTTATGACAAGTTTCTGTCTCCCATCTCAACTAACAAACAAACATATATATAGGTTTGCCAAAGTATTTATCGCATAAATATTTAGACCATTCTACCGCGGACACATTGATTATAACCAAGCAGCTACAAAGTAGCCCTGCTGTTGTTTATAAGAGAAACACACCAGTCAAACCATTGCCAGTGTCTTCAGCTGAATATATGCCCTAATCCGAGGCAGCATCTTTGCTGGTGTCCAATTAGTTCCAACTCTCAAATGGTTAACTACCTTATAATTTTTCCACAATATTTTAGGAATTATGTCACAATTTATGATGTCAACGCAGAGGTTTTTATGGGCAGGAAATTAAAAGCAAATACATTGTAGCTGAAACGCATGTAATTCTTTTTTTTTTTTTAAGTAATAAGCAGATTTGTGCTCAGGTATACAGTCCTGAATGCGATGGTTGAGATCTCAACGATGTGTGCTGAGCATTGAAAGCTGAGCTCAACAACGAGCAATCATTATGTGGACATCTATCCACACAGCTGCCATATCCAGTATCGTTGTAAGTTTCTGGTGGATTATTTGAATGGGCGCAAACAAGATTTAAATTGTGGCAGAGTGGCTAGTGTGCTTTACATTGACACTTAGCAGTTAAGTAGAGGTGGAATCGGCAGCTTAACCGTTGAGTGTTTGTATATTTAAAGCTGAATTGCTGATCTGTCGCATGTACAGTAAATTAATTTCTGTCCAACAATCAACGATTGCCAATGCGCACGGAGTAGTGGCACAAAGGCCGTTGATGCTCTTCTTGCTGAGCACCAGCACCACCGTCATCGCAGCCGTCGTCACCGCGTTTGCTTGTCGTGCAATTTCCGTCATGCAACTGACGTCTAACGTGCGCCAAATCACTTTAAGAGTGCGCAACAACAGCAACAAAAGCTGAAATATCCACATAAGAAGACCATAAGAAGACGCTCAGCACAAAACGGGAAAATGAACGAAAAAGGCCAAGCGAGTGTTGCCAAGAACAGGTCCAGAAACAGACGCATTG